AATGAAGAGACAGAAAAAAATCATCAAGCTAAACTTTAAGATCTCAAATGATCTACTCAGAGTTAATACCATTATAAAAACATCTCCTCCAGGTGACATATCACTAACTAGGTAGATGTGGAAGTTAGCTGTGCAATGGCCAACCATTAACTAGAGTTATTAAGAACACAGTAACAATGGACCAAAAAATACGGGTTTAAAACCCCAAGTTCCCCTGTAACAGGTGTGTGACCTAGATAAACCTGGGCAAAGCAATTCATCTCTGTACAGTTTCTCCATTCATAAAACCAGTAATAATAAAATCTACTGTTGATGGTATTACAAAGTTTTCATGAAAACCAAATGAGGTAATACACAGAAGTATTTTGGAAGTCATTAAAAATCATGCAAAAAATTAAAAGGAGTATCTTTATTTTAATTAGATAAAATGCAGTTCATTTTCTAGTTTTTTAAGTGCAGGATATATTTTTAATCCTTTTTAGTCTATGTTTTGTCTTTCTCAATTTGAGTATTCTATGGATACCATCCAATCTACTTATTACATAAAGTTGTTTCTTCTGCCCTTTAGAGACTTTTCCCTTATTCTTGGAACAGGAAAAATATCCTTATCTAAAACTCTTAAAACAATTTTTAAGGCAATAATGTTAACTAAATCCCTTAGTTAATTTCAAAGACTATGCAATATAGTATGTCTGACTTCAATTCCCGGCTACATCACTTATTTGTAATGGTCTAAGAGCAAATCACTTAAGTCTCAATGTATTCCAATTTTTATAACATAAGGTGGAATATTAGTGTGATCAACTTACCTGAACAGGAAAAATTCACCTTTGTAGCTTAAAGGTGAAAGCAGTATTCAAGTATGAGATAAAACTTTCCCCCCAAACACTCAATTAACCCACCAATGCCTTTTGAAAATATGAAATTACAAAAAAAAAAAAAGTCACTAAAATATATGTATAGGCCACAAATTGTTTTCTTTTGAAGCTATAAAGACAAATTGAGAAAATAGTATTTTTATTTAAACAGAGATGCCTCAAAAAAGAGCAAACCAGAAACACAAGGATAGAAAAGAAAGAATTCTTTACCAGCATATTTAAGGATTTGCTTTAAAAAAAAAAAACTCTCTATACACATATCACTAAGGAAATCCACCTGTCACTAAAAATTGTACTCCAAATAATTAGCAGTCTTTTTAGAAAAATAAGAATTTGACAAATCTTAAGTTCTTACCTTATGTACACTAAGGTATATCAATAAAGGCAGGTAACTGAATTCCTTCACTAATAATGCTTTTATCTTCTTATTCCTTCCTCTGACTTTTTAATTACTTCTTACTATGTAGAACTTTACTATGATTATCAATGAAGTATAGTATCACCTTCATGAAATTTTTTCACAAAACATGGCATTTCACAAACGACACTTTGAGGTTTTTTTCTTTTCAAAATAACTGACTGTACACACTATTAATTGTACCTTTTCATGACTCATTACAAGAGGCTTCCATAATTGATTAAAAAAAATCTAAACATGCTGAAATAGTAGAAATAAATGTTTTTCTTTTTCCTTTTGTTGAAAGGTATCCCTAATACCTAGGAAGTAGATGTTTTAAAAAGTGACGATAAACAGCAGTATTTGAAGAAAACTTCATACAGTGGTTAGAGACAAGTGGAAAACACTGCACAATAAGCTACATATATACTGAGCAAATTATACTAAAAATTTACATAAGAAGCAAAATTTGGAGGGGAAAGGGCTTAAACACAATAAATATCTAACATACTACAATTCGATGATAAAAGACAAGAAAGCCTTTAATCTGGCTCTAATTTTAAAATGGGTGCATTGGGGCAGTGCCTGGATGAGTCAGTTGGAAGAGCATGACACTCTTGATACCAGGGTCATTAGTCAAAGCCTCATGTGGGGTATAGCGATTACCTAAATAAAACTTTATAAAACAAATAAAATGGGTGTACTGGAATAAAACTGTGCACAAGAGGGCTGCTGAAGTACACTAACACAATATATTTATAATTTCTTAACATGGTTTTCCAAACTTTTTTCTAATCTATATTATTTTGTATCTTTCTACTTGTGAGTTTCTCAAAGTATCACTCTTAAAACTATTTTAGAAACCAAATTAGTTATCACCAATATACATGTACTGTTAATATGCACAATTTTCTTTTAAATTTAACACCTAAATATAAGTGTAGAATACAGAATTGTTTTTTGAAACTTAAAGGCAAAAAAAGGTCTAAATAAACTCCTAAATGGATTTCCTTTGTGATATGCAGAGTACCTGCATGAAGTCCCCAAATCTTTAAAATGAAGAGACTGATAATTACCATATTGAAGTAAGATCGAATTTTGACTCCTCTTGCCAGATCCCACACTATCACATTTCCATCGTGACCAGCAGAAAAGAGAACTCTCGGATCGAACGGGTGTGGCTCAAGGACAAATACCTCATCTTCATGACCCTGAAATATTTTTGAAGTTGCACAGAATTATGAATTTAAAAAAGAAAATTCAATCAAACATCAATATGGCAACATGTCTAGAATCTGAATTCTAAGAATTATTAAAGTGGCAAAAATCTTCAAATTTGTCAATGTATAATAATGAAGCTGAGCTAATACCACTATTCAGGGCTTTGCTATCATTTAGTGAAACCTGAGAATACTACTGATGCAGCCCTACGTATTAAAGAACAGCAAGTCTGATGGCTCGGAGCCTGGACCCTGTTTCTGATTCTGTGTCTCCCTCTCTCTCTGCCCCTCCCCCGTTCATGCTCTGTCTCTCTCTGTCCCCAAAAAAATAAATAAACGTTAAAAAAAAAAAAAATTAAAAAAAAAGAACAGCAAGAATTTCGATTTCCAAGTCAAACTGCTTAACTACATTTTAAAATTATTTCTAATCTCCCACAAAGACCTGTTATCCATCTAGCAAGATTTTTTGGCTAACTTTTTTTATAAAAGACTTTAGTCCTCAATGAAAATATTCCATTCTATAATAAGCTTCATTATACCAAATAAAAATGAGTTTTTTTTCCTCACCATCAGGACATGAATTAGTTGACCGGTGTAAGAATTCCAAACTTTCAGAGTCATGTTATTAACTGCAGTTATAACTGTATTGTCATGTCGATCCCACGCTACCATAGTTACTTTCATTTTTGTGATTTTATCTTCTATCCCTTGAAGGTTTTGGCTGAAAGTGATGGAGGCAGTATTTGTTTACACCAATATTATTTATTAAAATACTATTATGACAAAAACCTAAATGTGTTTTCTTATAATCTATATTTAAGTTCATTACATGAATAACTATCACTTAACAGCAATTAAGAATAATCTGTATCAACAAAGAATGAGCGCAAAAACACTGCACTGAGTCAGCAAACACCCAGGATTTCAGCACTCCTAAGCCCTTAGTAATAGATGACCTTGAACATGTTATTACTGCTTTAACTCTATCTGGATCCAAGAATTCTATGCCATGCAGCTCACTCTCCATCTTCTGCTGCTGTCATGCCCCGCTAATTGCTTTGCTCTCCCATCCACCTGAGACCACTACATATAAATATAGAATTATTTATTAAATATTAAAACCAAAATAATAGTTACAAAGTGTAATATAATTTCTCTGGGCTGGAGAAAACCACTAGATACACTACATCATCTCTCTGTGACAGATTAACACTAGAATATGTTCTACTTTTTAAAGAAAACTAGGAGTATTCCTGTAGTACTATCATCATCTTCATAAATCAAACTGAAAAAGTCATTAATGCAGATCTTTGTGTATATATATGGCAATAAATAATTTTAGAAATATCCCCTTTCCATCTCCAGTAACACCTCTAGTTATTACAGAAAAGTAATCATTTTAACATAGATTATGACATATGTTTCTATAGGCTGAGAGTCACACCTGCCTGTAATACAGCATACTTTAAATGATCTACCTATATTTATGTAATATTTCAAATTCGATCTCTTACCCTGCCGGACGAGTAGCCATATCCAACAAAATGCTCTTCCATTCTCTTCGTTTAAATTGCCAAATACGTGCTGTCCCATCACGGCTCCCACTCACAAATCTGAATTAAAGGAAACCCACCCCCCCCAAAAAAAAAACACATGTACTTTACTAAATGAATTTTTCCAGAGCTGTTTTTCAAAATACTAAAAGACAGACTCATCTTTATTTACACAGCATTCTAATATAATACAGATTACTCTCTGTCAGATATTCTCTACTAAATTAACAACTTCTGCAACTTAACGGGCTTTTAAAACTTTATATACATATTCTAATGTGTATGGCTAGGTCACAAAAGGACATTCAAAAGGGATTCAAGGCCACCATTTACTACCTTACAAATAAAATGAGTATTTTCCAATGGAAAAATACTGATTTTCCTCTCAATGTTAAAGAACTTGACTTCTTTTACTCAAGGTAAAAGGTACTTAGGAATAGCTTTCTTTCATTTTCAAATAAGAACCTGGGAAAATTTACAAAACATCATTTATCTTCAGTAATTAGTTCTGTCTCAAATATTACATTATGATACATTTCCAAACTCTACTAAGTTTCCCTACACTTTGATATCTATAGAAAATAATATAGGGTGGATAAAAGTCCCTATTGTTAAAAGTGCCCAAATAAACTAACATTTATAGAAATAAAACATAAGACCTGTTCTCACATGCATGTGAAGGCTATAGTCACTCTTCAGTGTAACTGCTCAAGATCCTTATTTTAGTAGCTAAGTTGTATACAGTTCTAATTAAAATCTGACTGTAGGAAATGTATTTGATAACTTTAAAACTGGAATTAAATTTACAAACAAAAATAATTATTTTACCTGTTACTAGTGTTGGAAAACTGGATACTGTCAACTTTGTCCTACATATAAAGAGATAAAAAAAAATCCTGAATATGAACTGTTAAACTCATTTAAATTGTACCTATCTTATTCTTTTTATCAGTACTTACAGTATGGAACTCCAATTCTGATATTTTCTCTGGCTGACCTGATCCAAAAAAATAAACCCGAATAATATGATCCGTGCTTCCTGTGGCCAGAAACATGCCACCTGAGGAGTAGGAGCAAACATTTGTGAGTAAAACACTTTCAAAACCACTGAAAATAAAATGCAAGCAATATTACCATAATATATACTGATGATTAATATTTTACTCTAAAACTATGCATATTTATCCTAAGCATAAAAATTACATCTAAAACTGAACTTCATGAACTTAAAATACATTTAACTAGCACAGCTTTAACTAAGATGCATTTTCAATATTTACAGATTTCCACTACAAATCATTTCATTAAGTGATTACATAATTCTTTGTTAAAATTTATTACCCTCCCTAGAAAACATGCCCTTTAACTCTACTGAAGTCCCTCTCTTGCCACATTTCCTATGTTAAAATCTATCAAACTTTTAGGGCCCAATTTCTTCAATGGGCTGTCTTTGCCACCCTGCAATCAAATGAGCCTGCTATCCTCTGAACTCTTATTAAGACTTTGTCTGTAATACATACATTCTACTTTACATTACAGTTATTTATATAGCAATTTGCTCTCTCCACTTTGAATCAATATTCTCCTACAGTGCTGAAAACAGTGCTGTATATAACTCCTTACAGAGTACTCTGAAATCATGTATAAAGCCTGTAATTGTGTTATTACGAAAAGGAAAATGGTCTTCATGGCAGTAGAAGTGGAAATCTAGAAGTTAGAAATTAAACACGTTTGGATATTAATATGGAAAAAACAGATTTATGTCATTAGTATGCTATCACTTATCTAAGGAACTACTGCTATTCACAATTATGAATTGAAAAGACAAGTAAAACTCGAAGTAAATGTAAAAGGAACTGGTACTAGGAACATTTAATAGGTGTTAAATCTATTAATATTTCATTTCATTTTCTCATCAATTCATTTCAAATCTTCAAATTATAGTTTGTTTAAAAAGACATGTCCATTCAAAATGCTACTGCACAAACTCAAAACATAATTGGAGTTATCAGCATTGCTATATAGCTACTTTTTAAAGAGCAAAGAACAAGAATTTGGAGCGAAGTATTTAATATTTACAAATAGCAATCAAATTTATTTTACTTAGCTACAGGATACCTCCCAAATGTCATGAAAATACAAAACGTATTTAAAATACCTTTCTCGCAATGAGATAACTATTCAAAGATATATTCTTTAACAGAGTCGATTCTGAAACTCTTATTCTCCAGAGCAGAGCATTATGGTCTCAAGGAAAATTCTTAGTCACGTGAATACATAAAAAGACTCTAGCAAAATTCAAATATTTCTAAATTAATTTATGACCATCCCCTGGTTTATGTATGTGAATATGATTTATATTACAATAATAAATATTTTCCAAAATTTTATGTGTTCCACTAGAAGCTTTCTAATGTACAACTTTAAGTGGAAAATTAGGGAGAGAAAAATCTTACCAGCACTAAAAGAAGAACAGATCATCTGAACTCCAGGCCGAGGGCGCTCTGTAAATTTAGCAGGTCTTGGACTATAATATAAAAAATAAACAATTAAAAATATCCCTAAAGGGAACAGCAACACCAGAAATGAGCTGTTTCAAAAACTAAATACAGAAAGACAAAATTAAATAAGAAGCAACAGATGGCTCCCTTCCTAAACAAGTTGGAAATCATTATGTGTCGTGATCAGCAGATCTTATGGAAACTACAGATTTCATAGGAGCCCCAGATTATACAACAATCCACACATGAAACACTCTCAAAGCCACTGTCACACCAGACATGTAGTTATTCGTTATACTTACTTCTAACCATATTTAACAGGATTTAGTTTTTCATACAGTACCGTAGCAATGCACAAATACATTAGAAAATAAGTCATTTGAAAACATGAACACACCAGCAAAATAGGTACTGCCTCTGTGGCATAAGTATACCATCAGTTAACTAAACTTTTTCAATATCAGGCACTGTTAATTAAATATTTCCCTCTGTTTATCTTCCAATGTGACAAAATATGCTTTTTAAGACTCCAAAAAGAATCTTAAACACTTATCCTAGACTGTTTGAATCTTATGTCAACTATAATGTTCATTCAAAATAGACATCTACAGAAAAATCATCTTCCTTTAAATATATGTACATTAACTGTATAATTTTGTATTACAGAATATGTCTTATATTTACACTACTGACGTTACATGTTTGTTACAATCAACAGTATTGAAGAAAGAAAAACTGTAGATTTTATACCATACCAGGTCCAATAAGTACACAATATATTTGTAACGCTCTAATACAGGGATTTTATTTAGAGCCCTACTTAACATACATTTTGATCTAGTTTTTCCTTAAGGTATCAGGGGAGAAAATTCAAAGAAATAATTAGAGCTTTCAATCAAAGTGCACTGCATAAATTGTATAATCCATAGCAATTGAAAATAGAGTGGTTTCAGTTTTGTAATCATATCAGGGAAAAAAAGGACAAAATATTTATGATCTATCAATTACACATTCAGAAAAAGGAATTTTTGTCAAAGTGATACAGAACAGTATTTGTTAAAAATTTTAATTAAATAAATTTTTAAAGTGACATTTATACAATTTTTCCTAATAGTCACAAGCCCTGACATAACTGAGCATGAATAGTTTAGAGAACAGAAAGTTATTAAAACACTCTTAAAACCTAAACAATTATTCAGAGTAGAATTAAGTAACCATAATTTAAGTAATCTGAAATTATAAAGACAACTAAATACACTACTTTCATTAATATCTTATGGATTCCAGCTCTCCATTTTTGTTAATTTTTAGCACATTCATTCTTGTAAGTGTTAAGCAACCATTTAGCTGTAACTTACAATCAGAATATACAAATAATCATACAAATTGCCATTTTAAATGGACTTTAATATTTTTAAAGGGAAAAAATAGATAAACAAGTACAATAATTTATTATTTTTTAAATGTTTATTTATTTATTTTGAGGGTGGGAGCAGATAGAGAGAGGAAGAGAGAGAATCCCAAGCAGGTTCCACGCTGTCAGCAGTGGGGCTTGATCTTCCGAACTGCGAGATCATGACCAGAGCCAAAATCAAGAGTCGGAAGCTTAACCAACTAAGCGACCCAGGAACCCCACAAATAATTTGTTTTTAAAAGCACATCTGAGGAAATATTTTAAGATAAAGCTTTGGTATCAGATTCTGTGAGTCCAGTTTCCAGCTCTGCCACTTATCAAGCATTATGACCTTAGGCAAGTTAACATTTCTGTGCCTCAGTCTCATCTATAAAATGGGAGTAAAAACAAAGCATATCTTAAGAGTTATTGAGATAACTGAATAAATTTAACCCACGTAAAATGCTTAGTACTGCACACTCAATAAGTATTAGTATCATTAGTATTTTAATTAATTTAATTCAACCAGTTCTAGATAGTCAATCAATGAATAACTGCTTTTTAGTTTGGCACTCTGCTTGAGAGGGGGTTGACAAAATACTTCCAGTATCCACCTCTATTTTCTCTCCTATCTGAACTAAAGAAAATAATTGTACCTTCTTCATAGGGTTGTCATAAAGATTAGTGAGATGACAAATAGAAAGTGCTTATTAGTACAAGCTTGTCAGACTAAGTGCTTAATAAAAATTTGTAATCATTATCATCTATATATTTTAGGATTCCCATTCTCCTCTTACATCTAAATATGCTTGGACAGCCTTTCTCTCCTACTCAGAGATCTCTTCAGTCAGATTCCGAGTCACGCAGCCACTCCTATTTCTCATCTAAGAAGCAGCATCTTTATTAGTGGAAGTTGTTACCACATACATAAACTCTGTATAAAAACAAATTTATCAAGAGGTTTGGGTTTCAAAATAGGTTTCATTAACTTCTAAAAGAATTGATTTTCTCAATGCAGACTGGGTTGCTGAAGGCACCTCCTCATCAGATTATACAAAAGCATTACAGTTCAATACAATTTTTGCCTTTGATCAGTAATTAAAACCCATGTGACAGTAACAATCTACATCCTGCCAAAATTTTTGGCAGTTATTAGCCATGAGTAAATATGGAAAAGAAACTAAGTGTCCCCAAGTCTATAACTAAGAAAAAATTACTCCTTTATGCCTGACTGTAGGTTAAAAGCTTTTAAGGGATGATTACAAGAATAGAAAAAAATCCTACCTATAATAACTATAAAAAAATTTGTATGTCCAAAAATAGGAAAAACATGAAGCAAAGTATAGCATAACAACTCAGTGGAACATAATGCAGCTATTAAAATTATTATAAATACCTATAATAAAATGTTAAGAAAAAAACAGCAGAAAATTATATACATTACTTGCATCTACATTAAAAATACACATTTATGTGAAAAAGCTGTTAGGATAGTTGGTTAACGGGTAAATCTCTGTAAAGGTTCTGAAAAAAATATCACTTATATGGAATAATTCACTTCTCAAGAATCCAGATATATTATCGTACTTAGCAATGTAATCCTCAAGAAGCACAAAGTTGAGAGTTTAATTTTGTGAAAACATTTTTGTTCCTATGCTAATTTGAAGACTGTTAGTCATATTTTTCTTCTGTATAAAAACAAAACATGAAAACACAATGGTATCCTAATCTGGTCCATAAGAAGGTAAAAAATACTCAAAGGAAAACAACAATTAGCTATTGCTATTGTCCACACACATCAGTAAAATATTTAAACTTTTATTTAATGTTTACAGAAAATCTTTAATATTCTAAATATTAAGAATGCAACTAAAATTAGAAATCAACTTGCTTTCTCCAAACAATCATGTCTTAATCAGAATCCTTTTTCTCAAATGAAGTACATTTTATTATGTTATTCTACCTTCCATGGCCTCTTAATGCCTTGCCATTAGCAGCACTCTACAGGAATCTTAATATACACGAAGCTTATCTAAATACTACTCTTTTAAAATTATAAAGACATTCTCAAATTACTCAACTTGAGTTGATATTTATAAACAAAAGTCAGACAGAATTATTGAGATATCCCTTCTAATCTGAATGATGTTCTACCATGAGAGCACAGAGATGACCATTTAGACACTGCA